CACTCCACCTCCCCCGCCATCCCCCGGACACTTCCCTTCCTCCTCGCTCCTTTCCTCCCTCCCGGCGCCAGTCCCCCCGTTGCATTTTAAATCAAAGCCTCGGAGGTAACGCAATCACCAGGCATCACGACGCTTCCACAATTTTCTACTTTAAGCTACTTTACTCGTACTTACGTACCCCCCCCCTCCCCCCGCCGTGTCCTCCTCCTCCCTCCTCCCCCGCCGTCTTTCGTTTCTCGTCGACGGCACGCAGCCCTCTTCCTCCCGCCGCCTTCCTCTGCGCTACGTCAATGCCCGTCACACCCCCGGCTTCGCCGGCGTTGCTCTTCTGTCTCGGATTCTCTCGCGCCCTCTCCCGCCCTCCGCTCACCCCTCACGCCGCCGGTCGACTGCTGCCACCCTCCCCCCCCCCTCAGCACGGGCTGGTAACAAGGTTATTTTATTAAACGAACCTCCGCACCGCTCGCTCGCCAACATCGCCGGAATTCGAGACGCGCAGCAGCTCCTCTAACCGCGAGCGAGAAACACCGTCGTCCTTACAAACAAAACGGGGATGGGGAAAAGTGTCTCTTGCAGGGTGTTAAGCAACGCGGATGCTAAATAGGGTTGCGAGGACAGAACGAGGAGCGAAAAATCAATTCACTAATTTAAATTACTCACTTCGGATCACGTTAGATGAAAAATGAATATCAAAACACTTGGTAGGAAAACTTAAGCAAGAATCGAACATGATTTGTGATGATTACTTTCATCTATTTTAAGATTTTATCTGTCGAAAATAACTTTTTCTAGAAGAAATATATTCCTTCTACTTGATTTTAAATAAATTTTTTGTACGCATTAACTCTTTCCACTTGTGGTTCTATCTATGAAAATTAATTAAAATTAGTTAGCTTCTATCAAAATCTTAAATTTGCTGGCGTAATGCTCCGACACCTTCGTCGAGGAAAAATCACCTTCCAAATTCGCCGAACAGCCGTTGTGAAAATTTAACGCGGTAAGAGCGGAACGCTCTGTAAATGCGAAAATCAAATTTATCTTTGAATGAATAATATGTTTATGTCTCTTGTGTTTTTTTCTTTTTTCCGACACGTATTATTCTACCCATATCCGCGAAAGTTCATTGCGTTCGTCCAGTTCCTGCCGTGAAAAACAACGGAAACTCGCTTAATGTGGTCCTTCATAGGTTGTCACAGTTGTTTGAAAGAAAGCAATCGTCTCGTGACAAACGATAAATCGATCAAGAATAACGGGAAAAGTTTTAGTATCGTCTTCTTTTTCCCTCTCCCTCTTTCCCCGTAACAAATGGCTGGACACCCATGCGATATCCCGGGGTGGTTACTTATACCGGAGGTGTATGTGCGTTCGCGGTGTGCAGCTCGCAAACGTGGCGCGGTGTAATCCAGTCACCACGTAACGCGATTACGCTCCTAACTCGCGCGGCCTCTCATTTTGTCTCCCTCCCTCTTCCTCTCTTTCTCTTGCTCCCGCTTTTTCAGAGAATCTCTCTTTCTCTTCTTCTCGTCGCTCGCACTCTCACTTCCTGTCGTTCCCGCGACCGAAACTCGACCATCCCTAGAGGCCGAGTAGCGCGGAGAACCGGCGGCGGGACGAAAAGCTGCAGTCGGGTATGCGGGTAGTTATGTGACATTAATATAACGGGTTGGAGGAAATCTTCGGTGCGCGGGTGTCATTATTTTTCCCCGAATAATGGAAATGTCTATTATCACCTCGTGTGTATGTGTGCCTGTCGTTCTTAACGCGACAGCGGTTTAATTTAAAATTAACGAGATGAATGTGGAAAGACGCGATTAATCATATTTATGTATTCTGCGGAACACACTTTTGATACATTTAATTCTATTAATTACAGACGAATTGATTATTCTAGTGTAAATGTTACTTTATTTTTTCTCTATGTGTACGCTGTTATCTTCATTTTTTCGCAAGAAAAAAATTGCTCCGCCGTTTACGATGGAGAAATTCATCGTAATTCTCCATTAGCGTTGTATCTATTTTTAAGCAGCCATTCCTGTAATCTTTAAGCCAACTGGAGAATTAAACATTCTTTAAAACTGTACTTAAAATTACGCCGCATACGGCGCAAAATAAAAATGAAATGTTTCGAATGAAAGAGAATAAAGATTAAATACTTTTCAGATATTTTTTGATTCAAAAGGAAACAATGCTTGTTATAAAAAGGCAACAACGAGGGGCCGCTAATTAACGGCGATGCTTGCACCGATTGCCATTGCTAAATAATAAATTTCACGAATTATCGAGTACAGAAAATTCGAGCTGCCGACAGAGAAAAATCGTGCTGATATCAAGAATTGATGAAGATACGGAAAAAAAGAACACGACGCGAGGTGAGGATGCGAAGCTATTGATAATTCTACGAGCATCGTAAATCGAAATAATAAAAGTATATTGTGCATAAGCTGCATTTTCAACAATATTTAAATAGAATCCTGAAATCAAGTTTTAATATTCCGAAATCTAATTTTTCGCTAAGTGTTTGGCGGGCATTATAGCGGCGAAATTCGCAAGAATTTCTCGTAAATTTAAATCCGTGCATCTTGATTTCAACGTTAAAGGACTCCGCGGAGGATGGCGAAGGAGCCGCGAGTGCGCGAAAAGCGAGATGCCTGATACACGCTTCGCGGAGGATCGCCATGGACTCGCGATGGGGGTAAACGCGATTTACACCATGACGACTATCGCCTCTCTTCTCGCGCAAAGTGCCTACGTGCGGCCGCGAAAGGGCGCGAGTGGGGGGGAGAAGGAGAAGAGAAGGATGAGTTGTTACGACACACCGGGAGACAGGAGATTCCGCTCGCGGGGGAGGAAAGTAGAGGGATGTTTGTCGTACGCGTTATTTGGCCAATAAAACCACGTGGCGGTGCACGAAGCGCCCCGCGTCGCCGTTCGCGAATAGACGATCGTCGAGCGGGAGAGCGAACCCTCGATACGGAGGGGTAAGGGTGCACGAGTGAGAAGAGAAGAGGAACGCGGCGCGTAGACCACGCCTCGGAGCGTGCTCGGCGCACGCGTGGTTCCGCCTATTGTCGTGCACGCTTCCCGTGGCGGTTCGCGACGGAGCGGCGACCGTCCGCGACTCTACCGCGGCCGCGACACGTCGTCGTACGCGACACACTATCGGTTTGGAGGTCCATGTCGTCTTGCGGCTCGCGTGTCGGTGCTCAGAGCAGGCAGCAAGAGGGAAAGACGCAGGCCACCCCCGCCGTCGCCGTGTTTCGTCGCGTGCTCCACGGGATACAACGAGATCAAGTACCACGTGAAGCTGATCGTACCGCTTGATTGATGTTTCGGAATTCGCGCTTGGATTCAACTTTAGTGGAGTTTCATCGAGCTGCTGCTCCCGAAGAGGATTCCGTGGAGATTCAGCCCTCGCTTTTTAGAAGTCAACCCGAAGGACTGCCTCTGCGCGCCACGCGATGTCAATGTCATTGAGAAATTTCACTGTTCTCTCTTAAGTGTTGTTCGAAAAAAGAAAAAAAAAACTTTGGTTTCCAGTGTTTTCATCGACTTCGCGTCTGGTATTTATGACATTTAAACCGGGACTCACACACGATACGCTTCGTTTTGCCGTGTCAAGACATTTTTCTGTCACCGCTTCATACGACAGCGTGATTTCGCATTTGTCAGACGTCAAGTTTCAATCGCGTGTGATTGTCACAGCCCGCACATGACAGAAACTCGCAGCAGCCGAGTATATTCGCACGCGACGGACCGCATCAGACTTATCGTCTGGAATTTACAGGACTTCGCCAAGATTATCCACGTGAGTTTCGCGATAATCACCTTTGATTAGCAGAAATACGAAAACTCAATTCATCCATAAAATACATCGGGTGTCCCTCTCATCGTGGGAAATCGATTTTTTATCACGACAAGCGCAGAATAGTGATCCAATATATCGAAATACATACGAAAGAGACAAATATTCGTCGGATCGGCGTGATTCCACAGGTCGAACTTGAAGAATTTCGTATGCAAAGTTAAAGACAAAAGGACAAACAGCGTCACGGAGTCGGGAAAGTGTGGCGGGAAGTGGCGGGATTGACGTATCGATCGGAGATCGAGCGAGCACTCGCAGGAGCGTCCATCAACCGGCTGATATTCGCGGAGAAAAGGAGTCCGCAGCGGTGCGGAGAAGGTCAGGAAGGTGTTGTTCAGCCACGAGTCCAGGATTCTCACCCCCGGAGGCGGTACCATCTCGCCCGGGGGCGCGGGGCCACCCGCGAGCCCATCGCCGGGGCACTATCATCCCCCTGCGCACAGTCCACCCCTGGTCAAGGTAAGCCATCCTCTCTTGTTTTGATTGGAGGTATTTAAAAAATCCCTCCATTGAACGACAAGCCTTTTGACATGCGAAACGCACACTCGAACAAGTCGATAAAAGCGATTATTGTGATAAGTGATACGTACTTAAATATATTAAGATTGATTTGTTATATCAATTTCTTATTAACTTCAATTCGATAATTATGATTGAATTGTTCGTCTAATGTCTTCTATTAATGTTCGATTGATGTTTCGTAATATCTGGCTCATCCAAACACGTATATATATATTTTTTTTGTTCACGTATTTTATGCCACGATCGGTGAGTTCGCTGTGATTTGGTGGTTTTATGATTTGATTAGCTGAATAAATAAATGAAGCACGAGTGCTATTTATTAAATTATTCATTTTGTCAGCGTGACAAATAACAAAGAGAGTGAAACAATTGAATAATAGTAGCATGACCGCAGGCAAGAGCACTATTTTATCTGTAACTAATGCATTTCGGACGTCCGGCTTTTGAAGCAATATACGTACTTAAATCCCGTCCAAGATATACATTGACGAAGTCAGTTTTCAGCAAGTATTATTTAACATAGGATTTAGAAAACGCGCGGAGACATGTTGAAAAATGCATTGAAATTCCAAGAAAGAAATCAAGGGAAAACTAAAATATTTATTCCAGAGATAAATAGAGTTGAGATAAATTTCAAAAGTTGATTAAACAACGGACGTTGTTTATTTCAGCTTAATAACACGCACACACGTGCTATTGCATTTTTACGTGTAACTTAGGCCTAATGATAATCGCGCTGAGAAATTATTAATTTGGTATACGCCAGAGGTTTAAATTTGATCGCTGTTTCAAAGTCGATCGGAATTATCCTGTCACACTTAAGTGGCCTACTAGGGTAGAGCGGATGAACGTAATGAGTGCCATAAAATGCATTTATGCACTCGTCATGTTAAATAATGGAAATAAACGGCATCGAAAGATTTCTTCTGCGCTTTTTGCATCACTCGACATCGCTTTCGGCTATTGATATTTTTTTGTTGCATCGATATCGTGCTGTTCTTTGTTCTTTTTTTTCTTTCTCTCTTCAAAGTTTTCAATTATAAAAAGACGATTGCAAGAAAATTTGTCACCATTATGTGACCTGAAACTTGTGCAGCAAATTCAAATTACATTCGACTGTCGTATGAGTCAGAAAATTATGTTAAAAATATCTTTGGCCTATCATCGAATTATTTTGAAATTAACTATTATATTAAGCGCTGCGAACTAGCGCATGACGTAATAAAGCTTTGAGTAGAAAATTGAAGTGATTTGGACCCCGTTCTATTTTCCATAAATAGTTCGCAACGCAATAAACTCGCGCAACAATGTATTGGGCCGGCGTGTATATCATTGCGATGTTTCAATTCCGAAAATTATAACAAAAATGTAAATAATAGTAGCAACGTGTTTCATCGTTGCTTTGTGAATGAAGAAACATATAATTCGATGCAATTGCTTTTGATTGCAATTTCAAAAGTAATATATAAATATAGAAGTATTTATCAAAAATTACTTGGGAAATTTCCAGTTAAGGTTGCCATAAATAATGTACATCGATCCTAAATGGATTATTTGGCTATAAAGTTGAATCTAGAAGAAAAGTAGAAGTATTTGGCAGCGTTCGACACTGCCATACATCATTTTCGGTTGTATTAAGATACATTTGCAGCGTAAAATTTTGCTGGGAAGATTCCAAATGAGAATCATAATTATTTATATCGATTTATAATATCGGTACAAATTTATCTGCATTTGTATCACTGTTGTTTATAAGACTCCGTGATATCTGTTGAAAGTTAGAAATCTAAATTGTCACTATAAGAGAAATTTGTCAGTGATTACGTGATAATCCAAGGATATATGACAATTATGGTATTAGGTCCGGTAATAGCCGATAATTCCGTTTTAGGTTCAAACTTGACTTTGTACTAACAGGATTAGAATTTGCGGCACGTTCAAGTGGATCGCTCATTCTAAGCTTCGTAGAAGCTGCTATGCGAGATTTAAATTTTATCCTTTACTTTATTTTTACTTTATTTTTATTTGTTAAATTAATGTTCCTGATTTGCAAAGAAAATCAAAATTTAGTAGTTAAAACACGTAAAGCTTTAAAACTTTAAGTACGAGATTGCCTTTTTACTCGATAAATGGAAATTAATATAATTATCAATTATTTCATTACTCGAATTAGTAATTAATCCGGTGATTATATGAAAATGTATACGACATGTAATTATTATTGTGCGGAATTAATTGTGATTTTAGTTGAAACGATAATACCATTGTGTTGTAAAATTTTCACATAAATTTCGCATTTTAACAACAGATTTTTTAAATAATTTAAAGTAAATTTTTTCTTGACACAAGAACATGTTAATTTAATTTTAAAAAAGGGAATTGTTTAACGATATTTCTCGTGCACTCAATCGCGGCATTTTTTCCGCTGTTAAATGAAAGATTGAATGGAAAAGTGATGTAAGTCAGTCTTTATAGAAACGGAATTAAGCACTCGCACATCCGTATTGCGCTTACAATGATTCTAACAAAAGCTGATATATTTTGGAGAATAGAGAAAAACTGATTTAAAACAATATAAACCTTTAAATCCGCTCAAAACAAAATATCAACTCCCGTTTACCGCTGTTCAGCCGAGCGATTTTACCGACGACTTCATTCCTCGCTCCGACATGTCCCGGATTCTCTCTCTCTCTCCCTCTCTTCGTTACTTCCGGAATCAAGTGCGATCCCGGAATTTGACGCGACAAGCGCAATACGATATCGTCCTCGGAAAAGCGGCTGCTCTTTATGGTCACGTAATAACAGTGCGGAGCTGTCGCGGGCAAGCGAGGCGAGTGGGCAAGGGCGGGAGGGTGACGGGGCACGGCTCCGCAAACCGTGAGGGAGGCGAAAAGAGAGAAATGTGTGAGGGGGGAAAGGAGGGGGCAATAGAAAGATCGGGACGCGAAGCGGTGGGTAGACGAAGAAAAAGAAGCCGACGATGATGATGGGTATAAGGGCGGCTGTCCGAGCTCGTTTTCGTCAGCCGCCGCTGCGAATCCCTCCGGGGACCGCGCGGCAGCTGTCTACGAACTGCCGGAGTTCGCCGTTGGAGAAGCTCCGGTCGGAACTTAACGCGGATTCTTCGTCCGCGCGCAGCGGCATTTATTATTTATTCCGTCCGATTCCGCGTTGATAATAACAAGTGGACAGCACATAACGCTGGTGAGTTAATGTTTGTAATTTGTAGAAATCAATAATTGACAATAAAATTGCTTTTAGGTAACTTTATGTTTAAAGCGGAAATCTTACAAGCGCGAGATCTTACAACGCTTCGTAGAAAAAGCTCGGACGGAAAATGAATGTCGCAAAAGGAGTTTTATGAGTTACGCAGATTATTATGCGAGTGAGAGATTGCTTTTGATATATAGCTGTCTGTCCGTTACGCGGCCCTAACACTCGATACGAGATTATTAGCTTAGAACGTAACAAGGGTGAAGGGCCGTGCGGCCCTGCGAGGACGCTCGCACACGCGCCCGACACTTTCGCTCTGATTAAGCTTAATTCATTCCGCCGACGAGAAGCGAGGCAGCAGAAGACGTTAACGCTAAACTGCTCGAAGAGCGCGCCGGCTTGCGCTGTCTGCCGTCCAATCCTTCCAACTTAACCTCATTAATAAATTAATTAGATATTATTGTGTTGGCAGCCAGGGCGGCAGCTGCGGGTACACTCTCCTCGCCCGCTTCGCTCGCCCTCTCCTTCTTTCTTCGCCGTCTTGTTCTCGAACCCGCAGACGCCGTTCGGATAGGAAGGAGAGGGCGAGGGGGTCAGGACCTGTGACGTCACTTCTTACAATGACAAAATGCGTGTTACAACCGCACGCTCGCTACCCGCACATTTTTTTGACGTCGAATCTTTGAGCGATTTGATCGGCGACGATCGCGGTTTCCTTCCTCCGATTCTGATGGATCTTTTAGGATTTTTTTTCTGATCAAGTTTTATTTTGACGAATCTGACGAAATCCGAAAGAGTTTTCTTATTTCAGAATAAAAGATTAGAACTTTCATTATAAATATTGATAAAAATGATGAAGGTAAGTTTAGTAAAGTAAAGTAAAAAGTGTGTAAAAAGACATGAAAAGCAAGGCAATTCTAAAATATACAAAGAAAAGTAAAAAAAATGAAGGAATTTTTTTAAAGAGTTTGATTCCTTAAAAGTTCCTTCATTTTTTTCTTTACCCTTGTATCTAATTTCATGAAAACTCTCTATATGATGTATAAAAAATAATACATATAATTCTATCCTGAATTTGATCGCGAATTACAGATCGTAAAATGAATCTTGAGATTGCGACGCGAGATGGCCGTTTTGCATTTCCAACGTGTTATTTAAGAAGCCAGTAGTCGCGGCGCTCATTACGGGGTAGCATGGCTCGTACTGGTAATGACAAAAAGCACACGCAGCATTATCATTGCGGAGTATATGGCATTAAGCTGTAGGGGGCCAGGATTAGGATGTCGGCCATTACCGCGCGTCACTGACCGTTTATTCTACGCCGTGCACGGTGCGGTGACTTCCTCTAGACGCGTATATATGCCTACTATAACCGGAGGATGAGGACGCGCGCGAGACCGGCCGGATCGTGCATTCTCTACACGCGTGATTCACCTTTCGATATCAATGTCAATTTCACTTAATCGCTAGCCTTTATTTTATGGATGTAATTTGCCGCAGCGCGATACACAAAGAAAATGATTGCGTCGCAAAAATGTAATTTTCTTCACAATTCCATATCGATCTGTCTATTTGAATATATTTTCATCGCGTACTTCGAAAAAAGCTTTCTATAAAATTCATAATTTATCATAATTAATACACTCACGCAATTAACGTTGTCTGTATTTTGCGCACTCACTTCTTTTAAACTTTCATGAAAGGACTATTCATAAAAATTTCAGGTAAAATTTATGTTTCTTTCTTTTGATTTTTAATATATTAAAAATAAGTTGTAATAATTTTATCAGACGTTTATTTCTACCAATAAAAAAGTTCTTTTTTTAAGTTTTTAAATCTAAAACGTAATGAATTTATATAATTAACATGCATAGATAATAAATTTCCTGAGCATTTCTTTAATTATAAAAACAATTCTTTCTCAATTTCATACGTTTTTTTTATAATTCAATATTACATAACGTAATATATACACTTACGGCGCGATCAGATTCGCTGCAAACGTTTCCTAAGATATTCGATTGCAATTGAATTCGATTAACCGCAATCTCATGCATGAACCAACAGATTGTCGACATAGTATACAAAACGCGAGCGGAATGGAAGAAAGATCTAATTACGACCATGAATCATGGCGTCCACCGCCTCGTTTGAATCCAGTGCGATTTAATGGGAGGAATGTTTGCGAGAGGAGTCTTTACTCCTCCATACCGCGCGCGCATGAACGTCGGGATCGAAATTGACCTTTAATCGCAGTGGCGCCACGCGAGCATGAATAATTGGCCGCGTCAGGAGCGAATTCGACGACGGATAATGCCGCAATAGGCCGAATCGGCGCGTATCATTTATTCATTCGACCGGCTAGCCGGCCGGTCGGCCGGCGGTGCTGCGATGGCCGAGCCGCGAATTTGCAAATCGTATTAAGCCGCGCGCGCGCGGAAACGAGGGGCAAAAAAAAAGTAAAAGAGCAAACCCGTCGTTCGCGAGGATCAAAGTGCCCGCAATTTTCACTTACCGCCAATGGCATTCCGCCGCCGGTGACTCCCGCAATCTGTGCCGCTTCAACCCGCTGTTTTTCGATAGACACTACGCTGCATTCTCTGGATATTCAGCCACTAGAAAAGAAATTTTTATAATTTTATAAGAATTATGCGATAAATGTATAATAAAAATCGATTTAAAAATTTAGAAAAAGGCGATTCGCATGCAAGTTTTTTCAACTATTAATCAAATAAGAGAAAACACGGATAAAAATGATTCAAAACTTCATAGATCTATCTGTATCATTTTCGTTTGATTGCAAATTCGACGTTAGAGAAAACTGAAGCAAAATAAAAACGCGGAGGCGCCAGAAAACATAAGTCCGGACCGCGAATCGAAAATCTTGCACCGGTAGGCCCGATAGCGTCCGTTGCCGCAGATAAACGTATGTAAACGAATACCGGTGGATACTCACATGATGAAAGCGAGTTTCCCCCGAGAGACGACGAAGCAGAGAGAAAGAGAGAGAAAGAGAGAGAGAGAGAGGGAGAGTGAGCGTAACGTAGTGCAGCATCGTGCGGAGGAGCGTTTACACGGAGAAATGCACACACGCGCTTTTCGCGCGCGCGGACACGCCTCCTTTTCCACCTACCCCCCGGAGATGCACGGGGGCAGAAAACGACCGAGAGAAAGGAGAGCGGAACACGGTGGCGCGGAACGAACCAGCGGAACTGCGGGGCGAGCGCGGGCGGACGGTGAGAGGCGAGGTGGAGACGGGGGTGAGATTGCGGTGGCGACCGGGGAGGGTAAGTGAGAAGAGAGCAAGGATCGCGAGGGGTTACTCGGTATATATATCGGGGTAAGGCGCGCGAGGCTCTCCTCTTGCCCTTCTCTCGTTCCCCATCCAACCCCCGGCGGCGGCGGCGGCGGCGGCGGCGGCGGCTCCTGTTTTACGCTTTTCGACTTTTTCAAGATTTATCCTTACCGCTTCCTCGCTAAATCGCTTTCCGGGCGAAATTTACGGTCGGGCAATAATACAGGAGAAGCGAGCCCGGGCGAGTTGCACACGGTCCGTGGGATGTAAGGAGATATAGGTGGAGGGCGGAGAGAGGGTGAAGGGGGACTGAGGGGGCAGGAAAGAGCGAAGAGAGCCCCGGCCGTCCAGCCGAGTAACAGGGAGCCTATATACATTCCCGGCACGTTCCTGGCTTCTTCTCTACCTGACTGACTACTTCCCTCCCCTTCCCCCCCCGCCCCTCTCTCACTCTCTCTCACTTCGCGCGTTTTCTTTACGAGCTTCCTCTTTACCTATCTACCCTCGCGCGAACCACTGCGCGCTTCGGCCGGATCCATTCTGCGCCTCCGGGGATGGCTATGACCATTCGGCGTGTCGTCGCCGCGACGCCCGTGATTTTGTAAAAGATTTAACCTGGCATTCGTGGCGTACTTTAGTAATACAATATTTATCGTTGACCCACAGGCGCAATCTCTCGATAATTCCGCAGAAAATTTTCATAAAATTTAGACAGAATTACTGCAAGAAATTTTGTGCGATATATCAAAGTATTAAAATGATTTAGATATATATATATATAAACTCTTGCAGTAATTCTGTCTAAATTTTATGAAAATTTATATACATATATGCTTCCAGATATTCATACATTTTATATTTAATATAGTAAATATATGAAATATTGTGCCAACGTCAATGTTGTGAAAATACCGGCAAAGAATCAATAATAATATGTAGAGACTTCAAGAGAGATAAAAATAACTACATAAATTCTGGCATTTTCCAGAAGATGCAGAAAAAGGTTTGCTGCATAACGATCATCTTTCTTGCGCGAGCTCGAGGAGAAGTCCATAGAAAATGAGATTACTTGGAACGAGGTTTATGCGCTATGCGGTAAAGTTATAAGCGCGTCGTGGATTTGGCAACGCGATCACGTTGCGGCAGAACGTTCTCAAATGGCACAGTCGTGAGCATTGTCAATTTTCCTCGGCACAATCTCATCGCCGATCCGGCACACCGTTTCGAGATTGACCGTTGTAACGTGCTTGTGGAAGAGCGCCAAACCCGCAGCGGTTTACAACGCGAATACAAGAAACAAGTGGATGATTGCGCGTTATTCCGGACAATTGAACGAACGGTAATTTCTACATGCTTTTCCGTGTGCCGCGGATTTATAAAAATGTATCTCGGAAATGACGAGGAATCGCTCGATTCTGTTGAATAATGTATGCACGACAATGGTACACTTAATGTATAATTCATGAAAGCTATTAGCGAATGTATCGGCAAATAATGCTTACTTGCTCTCAATTATTATTACTCTACTTTCTTTTCCATAATCTAATGGCAAGGGGACAAATATGCAATTTTATCATGCTGAGAAACGCGAAAGAGAGACGCGACAAGAGGTTCGAAACTTTTTAATTTTTTAAATGTATTTTTCTGCGACGCAAAAATTCATGGAGTTGAAACAAACAAGAGCTACGTAATTTAATAAATCTGTAGAACGTAAAAATGAATTTATCAAGAACTCCCAAGATCCGCACAGCGAAAAAGATCTCTTGTATAAGATTCATCGTCAAGTGCGGAGTTAATAATTTATCTCAAACGCCCCAGTACGCAATCGGATCAGCAGTCACCCCGCAACCATCTGTTTATATTAGAGAGCACGTAAGTAAACACGCGCCGGACATCTCGCCGACGCCTTTCTCCGGATCTTTCCCGCGCGGAAAAGCCGGGCGATAAATAATATAAATGGACCTCAAACGTGACGACGCGACGAGTATCATTGAGGAAGAGAGCCGAGTGGTCACTCGGCAACACGTGACCACCGGCGATCATCCCGCACGCCGGGGATTCCCTCGTGTACGCGACCGACCGGAGAGATACGTCCGTAATTCAGGATGCGACTGGTCCGACGACGAGGCGAAAATAAAGAAATAAAAAAGGAAAGAGAAGGAAAAAAATCGCTAATGTGTGCGATAAAAAACAAATTGAGAAGTATGGGATCAAAACGAATAGAAATTTGAAAAAATTTGTATTGATTGCATTGATGAGAAAATAATTTTTTTTAAAGCATGTGTGCAAATGATCCATAATTCAAAAATAAAATTACCTTCCCACCAATTCAATATTTAGATCTCGATGCGTCTGAGATGTAATGGATATTTTGCATTACCAATTTTTTTTCTACTACAAAGTTTCCGCTCATTGGTGAGAGAGAGAGAGAGAGAGAGAGAGAGAGAGAGAGAGAGAGAGAGAGAGAGAGAGAGAGAGAGAGAGAGAGAAGAGAGAGAGAGAGAAAGAGCGCAAACTCGCCGGTAGAGAGTACGGGTGAATCGAGTCGTCTAAGGGGCGCGACATATTGGACGAAATTGGCGCATATCAAACAGGGAAGCAATTGGAATAGCGACGGGATCCGGGGATCCCCGCGTCCCGGCTCCGCGCGCGCTCTCGGTTCCGCTGGAAATGGTGCCCTCGGGGCTCGAAGCCGGGCTCGGAAACGAAACCCTCGACTGCGCATCCCCTATTCCCTCTCGCAGCCCGCGGCTTCGGCCTCCTCCTTCTCCGCCGCCGCATCGAGTGATATTACACCGCCTAGGAATCTATCCGCTTGTCTCTTTCTCCCGTAGACGCGCGCGAGTCCGACGGCGCTCGTCTCAGGACAAATCTAACTTCGGCTTGATATAACTTCGCCGTGTCGAATACAATAATGCCGCGTGCAATGACCTACGATAGAGTGACGATGATTTGCGGCATCTTGCCGTTCTTTTTAATATTTTTGCATTAATATGTAATTTCGGCATAATTTCGATAATATATATATAAATTACAAAAATAATCGTGCGTTTACATTTCTATATTTTCTGCAGAAAAGTTCAAATTTAATGTTGGTATTAATTTTGATAGCAAGATACAATACTGCTCTTGACTCAATATCGAAGAGGATTGGAGCATGTGCATTTCGATTTTATATCCTTGACAGATAGTTGAGGCGGTAGTAAAAGCTCTATTTTTCGCGCGGCGTCTCGCGGCGGCTGACTCGGGATTCTCGCTCGAGGCAGAAGTCAAGCTCGTCGTAGCTCTGTCGCGGGTCTGTGTAACCGGAGAATCAATACGATCCTCCTCCTCCTCTACGTTCGGTGCGCCAATTGAGCTCGTTGAATCTGTGCACCGAGCCACGCGGTTACGTATAGCGCGCGAGCAAACATACACACACACAGACGCGGTGCACGCGTGCACACGCACGTGTATCGCACGCTGCGATTTTACGCACACGCGTGGAAAAGCACGAAGCGACCGATCCAGTCGCGATCGATGAACGAAGACGCGCCCCGCGTCGCGCGACCACCAAACAAACTCATCCGTGTAATTGGCAAATTGACAGATTAATTCAATCACATCGTCGATGCTTCTTCTTCGTGCGGAGCTTTCTCGTCCGCCTCGCGTTTGGCCCCGCGTTAATGTATTCCGCCGACGAGGAGACGCTTCTAATTTCCGTCCGAGTACAGTCGGACGTCACATTTTTGCCAGATTATTAATTATTCTTTCTATATAAAGTATAGCAGGAACAATGTCTTATTAAAAAAATGAAAAAAAAAACAAATTTCTGAAAATATATTTAATGTCAATTGTTCTATTTTACTTTATTAAGTTTTATTGTTTTATTTAGATCAAATGAAATATACAGCAAAAGTCTAACAATATTAGAGTCAAAATTATCATTTTATTTTACCGATTCGTCCAAAACCTAATTCTGTCACATTACGCGGGTAGGAGTGCGGTACATTTCTTTCCACAATCGGACGGCGGTCCATAGTGTGATAATCGAAGCGTACCACCCGCAGCGCGGTGCGCGGTAGACGGAATAAATCAAATGTCGAATGGATAAGCGGGAAATAAACCGAAAACCGCCGGGCGCTCTGTAAATTGAGAGAGAGAGAGAGAGAGAGAGAAAAAGAGAAAAGGGGAGACAGAGAGAACGGTGAGAACGCGCGAGTGAAGGATATAAACACGGGTCGCGCTTCTCCCCATTCTGTAAAAAGGGCGACAGAAAGAGAGATCGGGGCCGGAGGGAGAGGGGGGGGGATGAGAGAAAGGGAGAATGTTCTCTCGAGT